TATACATGTATTGTAAATTTTGAAATGTTTTATTTATAGTATCTACTTTTAAAAAAGACAACAAAAACTTTGAATTATTGATCAAGAATTTGTATTGTAATAATATTATATACACTTCAACTATAAATCAAAATGCTTACATCAATTTATAAATCAAGGTTGGGTAAGTTAAGTTTTTTTTAACTAAGTTAAGTTAAAGTTAAAGACCTTGAAAATGTAATTTAAGTAAAATACAAGTTAATCCAATAATAAAGTTAAGTTAATAAAAAAAGCAATTAAAAAGTTAAAAGTTAAATTTTTCCTTTCATGAGTTCAGTGTTTTAGTCTTACAAATAACAAATATAATAAAACTAATAAATATACACTTAATTTAGAAATATACTTTATACATATTAAATAATTAATTTAGAAATATACTTTTTGTATATTTTAGAAATCGTATATCTTTTAGAAAGTATAGAAACATACATTGTTTTGATACATTGGTTTGTTTATAAATAACTAGATATATTTATAGATATAATTTTACAGATATATATTTCTTGTCGACAGATACATATTTATTATTTTGTTTACAAAATGTTATTAAATTTGAGTAATAAAGCCAGTTTGAAATGTTTATCTGACATTCCTCGAAGATTATCAAAAATGAGTCCTCCTGCACTGAACAATCGTTCATCGTAAACTGAAGATGATGCATTATATTTTATAAAAGTACATTTGAGTGCTTTAGGAAAATCATTTTCCGTTATAAATATATCGGTCGACAAGTAAATGTGAATAATATAATCTGTTGTAATCATAGTTTTGTTTTGGTTCTGATATAGCGTCTTATTATGAAGTATTTACAAAATCATCGGATTGATAAGATCTGTTCTTTGAATGTACTTGAATGAACTTCTGCATGGTTGTTGGTGGTAAACTCCCGAACACTTGATTTTAAAAGTGTAGAAAACTTCTGTTTTCTTCGTTTTTATCCTACATCCAGAGCAATTAAAAATTTAGAACACGTTCCGTCTCATGCATATGCGCGCATGATCTATAGTAACGTGTAGTATAAATCTTATAGCGTGGCTAACTTCAAGAGATTTAAATAAAAAGTTAATAGTTACCGATAAAATATAACTAAATTAAGTTAAAAATTAAGAGGCCAAAAATGTACATATAACTAAGTGAAGTTAAAATTAACTTTGTACCTTTTTAACTTAACTTTTATCTTTTTAACTAGACAACCCTGAATCTTTTTAACTAGACACTACCCAACCCTGTTATAAATTAAATAAAAATTAAAAATATTATTTGTTTATTATATATAAATACAAAAATAATTTACTATATAATACTATATACAGTTAATATTATTATTTATTACTTTTTTCACTATTTTTATGATTATTTATATATTATATTTGCAAATGGCCAATATCAATTTAAGAAGATATGAGAATTGCGGTTACTTATATAACATAAAAATAAGTTTCTATAGTTGTCTTTCTTTCTCACAATTTAGATATTAGCGCGCTACTACTACAGTCAAATCGCGTTACTGTTAATCTCGATACTGTTAACATCGTGTTACTGTTAACACGCTTCCTCTTGATAATGGCTGCTTTCCTTTTAGGAGACACAGTCGACACAAAAGTCATTCTATCTTTGTTCAGTATTCAGTGAGACACAAAGACAGAATGACTCTTGTGTCGACTGTGTCTCCTAAAATGAAAGCAGCCAATGTTAACTTCTGTACCCCCACTTAATTTATGTCAGCCAATCATATTACGAGTTTTGTAATGCGTGTTTCTTGCGCACGATCCGGTGCATTTCATCGACTGCGTGTGCATAAAGTTCGAGAATAGTAGAAATGAGGGGAATTGTTAACACTAACGCGAGTAGTATTAACAATTGGACAAACGTGTTAACAGTAACGCGATTCGACTGTATCAAGAACATGGCGACATGACACGTGATATCGGACGCTGACATCAAAAGAGCCGACACGGAGTGACCCCCCAGCAAATACAGATATATAACAGCAACATTGTCGTAATAAAATAAATGTAACAAGTAATATAACATGGTCGTTGCATGTAACATCCATGTTAGTTGTAATTTCCTACTTATCGTATATTGCAGTTATATAATATGAATATAACATGTAAGTAGAATGTAATATATAATTGTTATATAGTTACAGAACTGTTATATGAAAGTTATAATGTCATTACCAGCTAATAACAAGCAATATAATAGATATATAATTATATTACATTTTTAAAATAAAGTTACATAACATCAATGTTAATAGAGTATAACAGCTGTTATATTACGTATATCACGCTGTTACTTCTATGTTATATAGCAGTTACATTCTGTGTTTGCTGGTTATACATTTAGAATGTCGTATGCACTAGCAATAAGGGTCCACTGAGCCATAAGGGCACCAGTAACCAGTACTGGTTATACATATACTGTGACACTGTGCTTGACTGTACTCTTCGGCTGTGTACAGTTGTGTCGAGCTATGTCGTTGTTAAAAAGTACTGTGTCAAACGTTGTGTGATTTTGTGTTGTCTGTGTTCCTTGCTGGAAAGCAATCAAATTTAAGTCGATGGAAACACGTTAAATTGCACTCATTTTACTCACGCTTTGATCTATAAGGTTTATCAGAGTGGCAGCGAATTGACATAAAATTTTAATTGGTGGAAACGTTTAAAACTAAATAGTGCCAACCTCTACTTTTCATTATGTCGGATCTTGTTAAAAATTATATATAAGAATTATAATATTTTTTTTATCTGATCCCCGATAGCCATGTAATAGCACCGTGACGCCACTGCGACCGCACGCTGTGGCGCACGCGTGACAGCACGAGTATGTCCAGGTACGTCCGCGCTATGTCGTCACCGTGACAGCACGTCGTGCCATCGCACTGCGTGCGGTCACAGTGCTTTCACAGTGTTATCATAG